ATATATATATATATATATATATATATATATATATACACACATACTTCATCCCTATAAAAAAACTAATCAAAATAATCTATTATACGCTACTTACAACACATGTAACTTGAGTCGAAAATAATAAAGTTTTTCATGGAGGAACAAAATGGATGACTAACCTGCAATTTGAACTTTGAACTTGCTGTTATGAAGGAGAATGTAGTTGTCTTTGTATTTGTAAATTTTTTTTTGAATATGTTGCTTTTGAGAGATATTAGCAGACTAGCGGACAAGCGAAAGAATTGGGAAAGATCATGAATTAGAGCTTCAATCAATAAAAATGGTCTTGACTTTTAAATTTAATATATTTCAGTTCCTTTTTAAAACTTTTGAGTAGTTACAAGCCGACTTTTGAGAATTTGGGTATTACATGAAAGAATTATTCAACAAATTTTGTTTTAATTCGAAAACGTTTCCGGGGCTTACGCTTCACTATAAAAATGCGGCTCAAACGTCCGGGCGTACGCCCCAAATTGCTAGACGGACGCATCTTGAGACTTTCGCCCCACATCATTGCCTCAGGGCGTTTTTGGTGCGCCTCGCCCCGAAAACGCCTTTTAAAACACTGATAAGAATATACCATATACGTTATTGTTATTGTTGTTATTCATCTAAACCTAATATTTTGGTGTGACATTCTATTATAATTTTAGTAATTATTAAATTTAAATTTACTATTTTAAAAGTACAATAAATTCGGTGTTAAAAACTACCATCAAATTAAATACACTTAGCTATGTTAACAGAGACAATTCCACGTCAACGAAATTTCCTCCTCTTTCTTTTCTTCTAGGACTCTATTCATTTAGTTGAGAATGGTAATGTTCTAAGTTGAGGTGTGTCCGATACGAATACCCTGAATGTGATGACATGGAGAAGTCTCGGAATAATAAGGAGCCACGTTACTCTGGGTAAAATTCCCAGACAACATTTGTTTATAATTTTCCTCGATTGAAGGCTAACACGTATAATAATTATTGGGGATTGTAGCATTTTTAGTCCCTCAATTATTGGTAAATTCTGATTATGTTTCGAAGTAATATACTCCCTCGTTCACTTTTACTTCGCATATATACTAAAAATATATTTTTATTTTTACTTGTCACTTTACGCATATCAAAAGAAGTCAATTTTTTTTCCTGTTATACCTATAATATTTATTACTCATTTCAAATTATTTTCTCAAATCCAATAAAATATGTATAAATTAATATGGGTATCATGATAAATTATGCACTTCATTTATTATTTTTCAAGGGGCGTGAAAAGTCAAAACGTGCCAAGTAAAAGTGAACGGAAAGAGTATAAGTAAAATTGAAGCGTCAATTAATTGAGAGTCAAATGGTTTTATGGGTCTTAATCTTTCGGACTTTCAAATTTTCACAAATTTAATTAATGAATATCAATCATCACACTATTTAATTGCAATATTTCTATGGTTGCTCGATTTTTAAGGGTAATAAATAGTCTAAATATACGTATTCCTTACATTAAAGGACTAAAAAATACAAATTTTTGTAAATTAAATTTTAAAATGTGTTTAATGAGATATTACAAGGACCAAAATACAAATTTACTACTCCCTCCGTTTCAAATTAGATGAGGTACTTTTCTTTTTAGTTTGTTCCAAAATAAATGATACATTTTTAAATTTGGAAATAATTCAACTTTAAACTCTTCATTTTATCCATTTATCCTTAATGAGAAACTTTTATAAGTACAACACAAATATTATGGCCCCATAAAACTTTTACCTTTAAGCTTTTAAGACCACAAATTTTAAAAGTCTTCTTCTTTTTCTGAGTAAACTTTATATTCACAACTTTATCTTAGAGGTGTTTTTATGTAGCTTATAGTTTTTATGTAGCTTATAATATACAATATATTTTAGTTCAAGCAATTAAAAAATATGTATCATAATTAACTACTCCAAGTTTAATGATATACTTGGGCAACAAGTCAAATTAAAGAGACAAGAAATATTAGGGAAATCCTTCAGTTAATATCTTTGGGGGTATAGTGTTTGGGGGGTGCTCGGGGGGGAGTGGGGTACTCGGATTTCCCTATAAATAGCGAAGCAGGAGCTGGATCCAAGTGTTCACTACTACATAGCAACTCTCATACAGATTATTGTTACCTCAAAAGCTGCTCTTAGAAACAAGAAATACAGCCATAGTAAAACCCAAGTTTTCATCTTTTCATTACGTTGTCAAACATAATTATTCCTCTATCATTGTAAACTTCACCAAGCAACTATGGTGGTCTTAACTAAACCTGGCATTGACCATTTCCCCATAGTCAAAAACTGCAAATTATCCTCATTCTTCAATGGTGTTCCATTGATAGACCTCTCTAAACCTAACTCTAAGAACCTTATTGTTAAGGCCTGTGAAGAATTTGGATTCTTCAAAGTCATTAACCATAGCGTCCCTACGGAATTCATAACTAAACTTGAATCTGAAGCCATCAAATTCTTCTCCTCTCCCCTTTCTGAGAAACAAAAAGCTGGGCCAGCTGATCCTTTTGGCTATGGAAACAAGAAGATTGGACCCAATGGCGATGTTGGTTGGGTCGAATACATTCTCCTGTCAACTAACTCTGAGTTCAACTACCACAAGTTTGCATCTATATTAGGTGTAAACCCAGAAACAATTCGGTAAAATATACTCCGTAGTAACAGAGCATATCATATATAACGGCTATATACATTTATCTCTTCTTAAATCTTTCATTGTTATTGCAGGGCTGCAGTAAATGATTATGTGTCAGCAGTGAAGAAAATGGCGTGTGAAATTCTTGAAATGTTAGCAGAAGGATTAAATATTCATCCTAGGAACGTTTTCAGTAAACTTCTAATGGACGAAAAGAGTGACTCTGTTTTCAGGCTCAATCACTATCCCCCTTGTCCCGAGATTCAACAATTCAGTGACAATAATTTGATTGGATTTGGAGAGCATACTGACCCACAAATCATATCAGTATTGAGATCCAACAACACTTCCGGACTTCAAATATTACTCAAAAATGGCCACTGGATTTCTGTCCCACCTGATCCAAATTCTTTCTTCATTAATGTTGGTGATTCATTGCAGGTACACAACAGCACTAAGCAATGTTGTTTTGGTCTTTTGGTAGCTTCTAGTAGAATATAACTAACTGAAATATATTTTGACTGCAGGTGATGACTAACGGGAGGTTTAAGAGTGTAAGGCATAGGGTTTTGGCCAACAGTGTAAAATCAAGGTTATCAATGATATATTTTGGAGGGCCGCCATTGAGTGAAAAGATAGCACCTTTGGCATCACTAATGGAAGGGGAAGAAAGCCTGTACGAAGAGTTTACGTGGTTTGAGTACAAAAAATCTGCATATAAGACTAGACTAGCTGATAATAGATTGGTCCTATTTGAGAAAGTTGCAGCCTCGTAATTATTTTTCTCCTTTTAGTCCAACTTCTTGGAAGGATTAGTTGTACAGATGTTCCAATGGAGTTAAAGATACTCCTAATTCCCAAACTTTTGTGTATTTTCTTTCTCTTGTAGATTTTCTTCTTTATTTCTTTTCTCTCGTACTGTCCTATAACTACTTCTCCTCCTAATAATAGAAGTTCAATGTCATAATTATCCTTTATATGTATACTAGTGTTGAGCGTACCCAATATTAATAAGTTCTAACATTTTTTAAAATGTCACATAGTAAGGTAAAATTTTAATTTTAAAGTCTTAAATATTAGAATTTTCTACAATTTTGGTTTATAAATAAAGTTTTCGTTGATTCGAAGTCCCACCGCTAATCAATTGTCAAAAAACGTCCAAAGCATACCGACCGAAATTGGTCGGAAAGAAATACCGACCAAAATCGGTCGGAAACAAAGTAAATTGGTCGAAAAAATAAAATAAAAAATTATAAATAAGAATATCGACCGTAATCGGTCGGTTAATGTGGTCCCACAAAAAAATTGCTTTATCTAACACAGTTGAAATTTCCGACCGACGTCGATCGAAAAATGGTCAATCTTTGACCAAAGTCTGGTCAGACTTGCATACTATCTACAAAAGAAATGATTAATTGAAATAATATAGAATACCGACCGATGTCGGTCGTAAATTTTAATTTATTTTTTCCCGCACTACGTCAATTGTTTTTTTTGATAATAAAGAATTATTTATCATATAATTATAAAAATACTGTCACGATCCGAAATTCCCACCTTCAGAACCGTGATGGCACCTAACATTTCACTTGCCAAGCAAGCCAACGTTAAAAATAATCTTAACCATTTTTAAGCAATTTAAATTAAATAGAAGTCAATTACTAAAATAACGTGCGGAAGACCATAAATACCGAATTATCAAAATACATCCCCGAATCTGGTGTCACAAGTGCACGAACTACTAGGATAATACAGATAAAGGTCTGAATAATATTCAAGCTGTTTGAAATATAATACACAGCTAAGATAAGATAGAAGGGGACTTCATAACTGCGTACGCTGTGCATTTATACCTCTAGTCTCCTCTGGGTAGTTGAATCCGAGCAAGTCTATGGTACGTCGTTGGGACCAACTCCAAAATCTGCACAAGAAGTGCAGAGTATAGTATGAGTACAACCGGCCCCATGTACTCCGTAAGTGTCGAGCCTAACCTCAACGAATTAGTGACGAAACTATGACAGGACACGCACGTAAACAACCTGTACAAGTATATACAAATACGAAGCAACAATAAAATAATAAATAACACTTTATAAATTTAGGAGGGAACATGCAAAGGGGGTTGATATAATAGTTTCAGCAGGAAAATTATCACTTAGCAGCCAATTAATTCCTCAACAATAAAATGAGCAACTGATAATATGAAAATGGCATGATACCACCTTTCGTGCTTTTACTCCCATTCCTCTCATAAAATGATAATTAAATAATAATAATTGGCCTAACATTACCCTTCATGCTTTAACTCTCTTTTGGCACGGCATCACCATTCGTGTTTTTACACTCATAAATGGCACGACAACACCCTTCGTGCTTTTACACTCTTCCTTACCATGACAATGATATTATAAATAATAAAAATGGCACGGCATCACCTTTCGTACTTTTACACTCTTCCTTACCATGAAAATAATAATATAGATTCGGAACAGTATTTAAATGCGAGGATATATACTTATCAATCAATTCAATACCAGAATACCGACTTCACCTTTCAAAACATTCAATAATAATTAAATGAATAGTAATTTCACGAATAATGATCAAATAATCAATAATAAACTTAAGCAAGAATATCTTAATTAAATAGGCAATTATTCACAATAAAAAAATTCCACCCACATGCTTTGACTCAACCACAATGAATAAGTACTCGTCACCTCATATATACATTGTACCTGCACATTAAATCACGTAGCAAATAGACAAATAAGTCCTACTCCCTCAAGTCAAGGTTAACCACGATACTTACCTCGCTTTGCAACCAAATTCAAGAATCCATAAACCTTTGCCTCGCGAATTCGTGTCCGAAATCCTCAAATCTAGTCATAAATAATTCAATATACTCAATACAAATCGTAGGAATTAATTCTATATGAATTTACTAATTTTTCGGATTAAAAATCCGAAATTCATCTCCAAAATCACGAGTGGGGCCCACATCTCGAATCTCAAAAAACATACGAAATCCGAACACCCGTTCCGAGACGAGTCCAACCACATAAAAATTATCAAATTCCAACATCGGATTGACCTTCAAATCTTAATTTTACATGTTTGGAAGATTTTATAATAATCTGATTTTCCTCCCTAAATTCACGGATTCATGATGTAAATGAGTATGGAATCATGAAATCTAATCAATATAGGATAAGGAACACTTACCCCAATATTTTCCCGTAAAAATCGCCCAAAAATCGTCTTACATGAGCTCAAAATCGAAAATGGTAGAAAATGGGGCGAAATCCCATTTATAGAATTTAAGTTCTGTTTGCCTAGGTTTTTACCCTATGCAATCGCGGACAATGCTTCGCGATCGCGAAGCACATTTTTAGGCTGCCCAGTTTTTGCTCTACGCGAACGCGGAAGAGCTTATGCGAATGCGAAGAACCATTTCTCAGCCTTACGCGATCGCGGACGACGGAATGCGATCGCATAGCACAAATCCCGTGCTATAGCTTCTGCCTCATTCCTTCTTCGCGAATGCGGCTTTGCCCACACGTTCGCGATGCCTTAGCTTCTCTAACTGTGCGATCATGGACAATACTATGCGATCGCATAGAACAAATTTTTTATCAGTGCTCAATAAACCTTTGCGATCGCGGATGAAGCCACGCAAATGCATAGAAGGAAACTAGAACTTGGAAATTCCAGATTTCCAGCCATCTCTTCTTGAACAAAAGTGATCTGAAACTCGTCCGAAACTCACCCGAACCCTCAGGGCTCCAAACCAAACATGAACACAAGTCCAAAACCTATAGGAACTAGCTCGCGCGATCAAAACACCAATTTAACACCTAGAATTACGAATCGGATGCCAAATCAAGTGAGATTTTTAAGAAAACTTTAAAAATTGTATTTTAACAACCGTACGTCCGAATCACGTCAAACCAACTCTGTTTCTTAACAAATTTTATAGACAAGTCATAAATATAGTAACGGACCTATACCGGGTTCAGAACCAAAATACAGACCCGGTATCAACAAAGTCAAACATTGATCAATTCTTTAAAGTCATTAAGCCTTTAAACTTAAAAATTTCGACAACATGCGATAACTCGAGATAGGGACCTCCGAATTTGATTTCGGGCATACTCCCAAGTCCCAAATCACGATATGGACGTACCAGAACTGTCAAAATACTGATCCAGGTCTGTTTGCTCAAAATATTGACCAAAATCAACTCAATTGAGTTTTAAAACTCCATTTCATATTTAATCAATTTTTCACATAAAACTTTTCCAAAAACAAAATTTACGGACTGCGTACGCTAGTCGAGGAAAGATGATTGGTTCTATTTGAGGTCTCAGAACACATAAATAATTATTAAATTTAAAGATGACCCTTTGGGTCATCACATTCTCCACCTCTAAAACAAACGTTCGTCTTCGAACGAAATTAGAAAAGTACCTGAGCTGGTGAAGAGGTGTGGATATATACTCCGCATGTCCAACTCGGACTCCCAGGTAGATGCTTCTACCGGCTGACCTCTCCATTGCACCCAAACTGAAGGATAACTCTTAGACCTCAAATGTCGGACTTGCCGGGCTAGAATAGCTACCGGCTCCTTTTCATAAGTTAAATCTTTGTCCAATTGGACTGAGATGAAATCTAATACATGGGACGGATCACTTTGATATTTCTGGAGCATAGACAAATGGAACACCGGATTAACTACTGATAAACTAGGTGGTAGTGCAAGCATGTAGGCTACTTCGCCTACCCTTTCAAGAATTTCGAAGGGTCTTATATACCTCGGGCTCAACTTGCCCTTCTTTCCAAACCTCATTACACCTTTCATAGGTGAAACTCGGAGCAATACTCTTTCTCCAGCCATGAATGCAATATCACAAACCTTACGGTTGGCATAACTCTTTTGCCTAGACTGAGCTATGTGAAGTCGATCCTGAATAGATTTGACCTTATCCAAGGCATCCTGTACCAAATCAGTACCCAACAACCGAGCCTCTCCCGGTTCAAACCACTCAATCGGCGAACGACATCACTTCCCGTACAATGCCTCATACGGAGCCATCTGAATGCTCGACTGGTAACTATTATTAAAGGCAAACTCTGCAAGTGGCAAGAATTGATCCCAAGAACCTCCAAAGTCTATAACACAAGCGCGAAGCATATCTTCCAATATCTGAATAGTGCGTTCTGACTGTCCATCTGTCTGTGGATGAAATGTTATACTCAACTCAACCCGCATGCCTAACTAACATTGTACAACCCTCCAAAAGTACGAAGTGAACTACGTACCTCGATTAGAAATGATAGACACGGGCACACCATGAAGGCGGACAATCTTACGAATATAAATTTCAGCTAACCGCTCTGAAGAATAGATAATTACTACTAGAATGAAATGTGCTGACTTGGTCAACCTGTCCACAATGACCCAGACTGCGTAGAATTTTCTCTGAGTCCGTGGAAGCCCAACAATACAATCCATAGTGATACGCTCCCACTTCCACTCAAGAATGTATAACTTCAGAAGCAAACCACCAGGTCTCTAATGCTCGTACTTAACTTGCTGACAATTCAGATACCGAGCTACATATGCAACTATATCCTTCTTTATACTCCTCCATCAATAATGTTGCCGCAAATCTTGATATATTTTGGCGGCACCTGGATGAATAGAGTACATGGAACTGTGGGCTTCTTCCAGAAGTAATTCACGAAGCCCATCCACATTAGGCACACAAATACGATCCTACATTCGCAAAACTCCATCTTCCCCCACAACAACCTATTTAGCATCACTGTGCCGCACCGTCTCCTTTAGGACAAGTAAATGAGGATCATCATATTACCACTCTCTGATGCGCTCATATAAAGAAGACCGAGCGACTGTTCAAGCTAGAACCCGACTGGATTCAGAAACATATAACCTCACGAACTGATTAGCCAAGGTC